TTTATAGTGTTTGATTTATCTCTGCAGAAGATATCACAGAAACAAATTCACTGAAGCATTTCATGTAAAATGTAATAAGCACTAGAACCTGGTTCACTAATTACTGCCTGGATGAAAATCTCCTTGACGCCGTTATTTAAAAATAGCAATGGGCTTAGACAACAGACAGACTTGTTTGTTTAATGGAATTTTCACTGTCAAGACCCTGTTGACTGGAAAAGAATTAATCTAAATATATACTTATCTTAATGGTAGGGTAAAGGCGAGTGTAAGACAACTTTTCTTTGAAATACCAAGGGTGAATCTCCTTTGCCTTTTCCCTTTCGTTTCACTCATCTTATGTCTGTTCTGTTCAATTAAATCTTTCTGACATGCCAAATTACACAATCAGTACTGAAATACGGAAAACCTCTCCAAGATATGGAGCGAATGCCCCCGTCCGTTTGTCTTTACTGCCCACTCCTGACATCCTGGTGCACTGCTGCTCTCAGCCGCCCTTCCTCGCAGCTCTCCCAAGACATCCTGACCGCTGCTCTGCTGGGCACCTTCCACACTCAGTCCCGGCTCCCTCACCTGGATTCCTGGACTTGACCTAAGCAAAGGACAGTTTAAAAACACAACTGCAAGTGCCACGCTATTTCTTTCACATACTTCCTGGTGCATTTCCAAACCTGATCTTAAGCGTCTCCAGGTGAGTAGCTTTTCCTACTCCTCTTGGGATGCAATTTCCCAATCAGTCTTATTGCCAAGAAACCCCTTATACCTATGTCTCCTCCTATGGGGTTGCACCACTTTTCCTTTCTTGGCCTAGAACTAGTGGAACAAATATCCTTTTTCCCACAGATTTTGCAAAATAAAGCAATATGGTTGTAAAAGCTGTGTACTCTACTGAGCTGTTTTTACTTGTCAATAATTTATGTGATATCAATTCATGTGTTTCTTGAATAGACAATTTCTAATTTTAACAAATGACAGCCCCCCCACCGCCCCCAATCAAAGAACAAATCATCTAAAAGAGACAACACAGTTACAAACTTTACAGAAGACGCAGGAAAAGAAATAGTGAAAAGCTCTGTTTAAGTTACTGATACCAAGACTAAAACTGAGAGGTCTTTGTCACCCTGAATTCAGCAGCCCCATTGCAGACACCCTTCCAGCATTCAGTGGTCTCTCTCTCAGTGGTCTCATCATCACTCTATCAGGGATGTCTTATCAGCCTTGTCTTTCCAAAACACTGACAACTGTGCTATTCTAGACATTGCAAAAGCAGTGCTTTTATTTGCATTTTAGTTACCCCAGCTTGCGTTAAGAGGGATTTCAAAGTAACTGCCTAAGTTGCTGCAGGGCAATGACGTTGCCGTCCGAGCTGTCTCGCCACAGGCCACCACGCAAGGCCCAGCAGATCTGTGGAGACATCGGCCACTGGCTCCGTGTGCGGGGACGGGAAGGGTTTATTTACCCCCATGAAGGTTGTATAGAACTTTCTTCCACGGTCTGGTGATGAGCAGGAGAGCTGTTGGACACACCGTCAAAAAAGTAGGCAGCATGCGTGAAGCCCAAGGCTCAGCCCAAAGCCTATCACCCATAGGGCAGAAAAAGTTATTGGGCTCTGATGTTTCATCCTGGGTCAGGCAGATTCTGCATTGCAAAGATGCAGGGTTTTTTTTGTCATTTCTGATAAACTACTAAATGAACAAGTTACGGTACAATGTGTCCCTTCGGTGTAGAGTTGTGAGCATCAGCCCCGAAACAGCTAGGAGGAAGGAAACCCTCTTCAAAGGAAATATTTTGCTCTCCTGAGAGCCATTTGAGAAAACTTCCATATTCCTTTTTCAAAGCCACTCTTGCTCTTCCTGTTACAATTTAACCTATTGTGTCAGCTATATGGACTTAGCTGAAAAAGCAGATTCTGCTGGGAACAAAGTCAGAAGTCTGGCCTTTGTTTCGGGAGAAAAATGTTTAATGTGTACATTTAATGTGTTATTTGGAGCTCTGGTAGAGTTGCAGAGTATGTTTGCCTGTGCTTCTGTCCTACAGAAAAAACTATTTCAACATGTGCCCCTTGACAAACACCTATATCATAGAGTGAAATATATGCTGTTGATTGTAAGATGAAACCACTTCCAAAATCACACATACATTATTTTGAAGATCCATATAAAGATGCTGTTAGACAAATCCTGAGGTGATTATATAAACAACAGAACAAAGTTCTGAGAACTAATGCATAAATCCTTTGGAAATCATTCTTTCAAATATTTTTTTGTTATTTGCTAATCAAAAACCATTGTTTATCTCAACTTTTAGCTCAAGCTAAAATTTATAGCAGATGTGTCTCTAAAGATTAAAATAGCTGGGTGGCAGCATGTTTTTTAAATCTGCAATTTACTAAAATAAACACCCTGTGAAACACTGCCATGCAGTTTGGTTTGCAGCAAGGCATGGCAGGAAGCCATTCTGAATGCTCAGGGCTCAGAAGTCAAAAGGATGGAGGAAAGATGCAGAGCCCCAGGGGACCTGATCCCCCCGCCGCTCTGCCCTCGCTGCTCTGAGTCCGGAGTCGAGATCCCGCTCAGGGGAACAGGCAGGAGGGGGCGCAGAGCCCAAGGAATGGAGACAGGATCCCGTGCATCATCCTTGGGGATACAGCAGGTAACATCTTGACACGGGATGTCCTCAGAATCATCACTGATCCCCTATGGATTACATTTGCTCTGGCTATAAAAGCAATAGGATATATTTCAAACCCAGCCTTTCTGAGCTTACCAAAACGTCTTTCTATCAGAAAAAGTCGGAATTACGACATGTAGACAGGGCCTTTTCATGTCACGCTTTGGGAGCGCTTACCTGATATCTCCAGATAAATCAGTCATTGTTTAGTCTGCAGTTTAAACCAGTAATATTAATTGTCAGCAGTGACACTGGGCAACAGTAAAAACAAATAAACACATAGCAAACGGATGACTGCTAATTATCCTTTCACTCACGAAGTATAAATATAGCTGCCCGTGTTTGAACACCCAGAGAGCCCGCAGTTAGGACACATTCAACTGCAGATGTGCTACAACCCCTTCTTTGCTGAGCTCATAGATGATACCAAACAACACATAAACACCAGTTCTAGCTGGCGCCTCTAATTTTCTTGAGTACTCCATGTATTAGTCACAGATGCGTATTAAAAGCTATGATTCTCCACCAAAAGGGGAAAAAGAAAGCACACGTACTTGAGAGAGGGAGATGTGTTCCACGTGCTCCTAGGGCCTGGCTTCCTCAAGTGCTGGACGTTTTTATTTTTCAGAGAAGGCAGCTGGCACTTTGAAGAATTTGATCTCTAATGCTTTAGCCTTAACGAAGAAAGATGGCACTAAGACCCTCTTTCACTGTGTGGGAGGTTGGGTTTTATTAGAGTAATGGAATTTTGGTGACAGGGAAATGCTGACATTTCTCTGCTGCCTTCCCCCCTGCTCCTGCTCCCCAAATGAGAACAAGAAAAACCTCCAATGTTCATGTGATGAGAAGTTCTAAAAAACATCAACAACTGAAATGAGACTGAAATCAGAATTGTTTCTGGAAAGGAAAAAAAAAAAAAAGGAAAAAAGAAAAAAGGAGGGGGGAAAGGCAGGGGGGACAGAATGAAAAAAAAAGTGGGGGGATTATTTTTTTACAAACCTGTTATTTCACCAGCATATTTGAATGTTGAGAAGTGCTGCAGCTAACATGACAACGTTAAATAATGAAAGCAGTGCCCGAGTGCAGGGTTTCTCTCATCTTCACCACCATGCTCAGCTTTATCTTAGGAAGGCTCCAAAAAAAACTCTTTCATTCCTAACTTTCATGCCTCTCGTTTTCAGAGCTTTCTGTGCATCCTCTTTTTCCACCCTTTCCAATGAATTCCTAAAATTGAATGAATCCTTACTTGGTCTGTGCAAATTTTGATGTCTATCTTCCTGTGACACCCAGAAAATCTACTCCAGTTCACGGATTCCTGGTCCCATTCTTGGTCTCTGGATATTGATGGTGAAAGATCCTCCAAGAGGCGGGAAGTGCTGGAGTGCAGCAGACTCCAATAAGCAGGGAAGGAGCTAATAAATAGAGAGCCCGACCTAGGCAGGAGAGAGCATCAAACTGGGGCTTGAAGCTATTGTCAAAAGAAAAAGTGAGATTTGTTGGAAGTTGCAGAGAGAGAGTAAAGAAAACAAATAGCCAAGAGGAGGGCTGAAAGAGCAGGGAAAGGTGAAAGGAAGAAAAAAAAGTCCTTATAAAAAATGATTCCTTTTATATCAGATATAGTTTGAGAGGTAGAACCTGATTAAAGCTATCAAAACTGAGCTGCTGAGCTGCTAGCAGATACTCCCCATTGAAAGAGAGTATTGTACAACTGGCTGAATTCTGTAAGTGAGAGCTAAAATAATGTGTGTGTGTGTGACTGGTCATGCCTGAAGTTGAAAGGAAAAGCAATTGCTTTTAATAATAGCTGTGCTCGCCGAAATGAGTTCTACTACTTGATACTGTAAATTGTGCAGATATTAAAAAAAAAAAAGTATGAATGTAGAATGGAAGCTGAAGGAGAATTGCTTAATTTAAAATAACCAGAAAATGCTACTGTTTTGGAGAGGAAAAAAAAAAAATCAATGAGAAGACATTTACATGCAGCATTTTTTGCATTTGAGCCGCAGTCATCACCACCTCCACAGCACAGTACTTCCTCTTCCATATTCCCCTCCCAGGCCCTAGCTGTTTGGCCACATATTGCTCCGAACACAGCAAAGCGGTTTCAACAGCAGCACGAGAAATGGGAAGCATGATCTGAAATGGGCCAGAAACACATAAGAAATGAGAGAGGAGAGAGAGAGGACAAAAATATATATCTTACTGCCAAAGTCTGCAGTGTTTTATGCTGCTCTTAGCGGAGAACAAGGCCAACTTGCAAAGCCCATTAGCTTTAATTTAGTGATGCTTCAGGCTCCACCAAAACAGTATCAATCCTATACTGAGGATTTGATACTGCTAAAACATACCGATATCTTACTACTTTAGCCTTTCTAAATTTAAAAATCCTAATCAATGGCATTCATAGCATTTATATAACACATACAAAAAGCCTATTTCTAAATCAAAACTATACAAACAGGAAGAAAGTTTTCTTAATTCACCACAAAGTAAAGTGTTCATGGTCTATAAACTCTGTATATATATCAGAAAGATTGCAAGGCTTTCCACATGAATGAAAAGCTAGGACATCTCTTTTTCTGTGGTGGTTTTAAGGCTGACAATTTCAAAGACAAATTAAAAAGTAACTGAGCTCGAACACTGAACTCAGAATTTTCTATTTTCTTCTGGATGTTTTTCCTTAGGAACCACCTGGTTTGATACCATCTGGAAAAAAAAATAGCTTCTGTATCTGTTAAAGATAGGAGCATGCAATACTAGGTTAAAAAAAAAATAGAAGATCACTGGAGGCCTTTTTGTCTTACGTTAAAAGACATAAAATGAGAAAATCAGAAAGGAGATTAATAAGAGGAATAGTTAATTTTGAAATTCTATGGGTTTTCTGGCACTAAAAAAATTCCTATTTCAAAAAGGAAGAAGGAAAAAAAAAGTGAATTATTCTCCGAGCCTTAAAAAACCTGCAAATTATCTCTTGCTCTTTGACCTTATACAGTATCTGCTGTTTCATGAAATAACGGCAAGAAGGACTCTGTGGGGGGAGGGAAAGGAACATAAATGATTTATAGTAACAATGAATTTGACTGATGAAATATTTAGGTTTTAAAAACAAACCAAATATTTATTTGGAACAAATTACTTAATTCTGTAAAGATAAGGAGTAGCATTTTTTTCTTCAGCTACTCTTTCAATAGCTTATTCAGGCTTCGCACTTCAAATGTGATCTGATATTAAAAGGTTACTTGGCAAAAGCCACACATTAGCAGGAAGTGCTAAACACCAAGGGCCATACTAAAATACACACAGTAGCAAAATACTGAACACATCACACACGGAGCTGCTCATTTGTTCCTGCAAAATGCTTATTAAATCATATGCTGCAAGTGTTTGCAATCCAAATTCTACCTAGCTAACCATGAAGAGCACCACCACATTTACAAAACATTTTTTTTCATTCTGAGACCAAGTCAAAGTATTTGTCTGTAAAGTGCTCTCCCACAAACCATTTCATGTTCAAAGCACAGAGCATAAGTGTTTTGTGTTTGTAAATCATTTTCCTCACAGTTTATCAATGTTGTGTAAATTTCTATTAGAAACGACTCGCTAGACTGTGGAGTAGCTAGACTTCTTCATTCTGCATCCATTGAATCTCATAAGCAAAAACAGTTACTTGGACAGACTTAAACTCTGCATAGTGTGCAATATAAAAAGTTATGTGATACCAAATTTTTCCCAGCACACTTTGAAACTACAAGTAAGGATGATAGGAATCAAATGTATTGTTACATGATGACGGCCTAAGCGCGTGCTCAGATCATTACAAAG